ATGTCGCACAAGGAAGGAGCCATCGGGACGGGTCCTGCTGGCAACGTGGGGTCCCGAAGCTGCAATGCCGACCAGTGGCTTGAAAACCATGAGATGCATCTATGCTGAGAGGCTGCAGGAGCATCAGGTCAGGGAGGGTAAGGGTAAAGCCTCACCTCCCTCGGCCGGAACTAACTGCCCAAGACCCGCAGTGTCGGCAGGTACCGTCAGAAACACTAGGGAATCCCGAGGAAGCAGCCGGGATCTGGAACGGGGACATAAAAGCAGTGGCTGGGGGGCGCCTGGGGGGCTCGGTCGTTGGGCGTCTGCCTTCGGCTCAGGTCATGATCCTGGGGTCCTGGGATAGAGGCCCACATCGGGCTCCCTGCTCAGCGGGAGCCTGCTTCTCCCTCACCCTCTGCCTGCTGCTCCCCCTGCTTGTGTTCCCTCTCTCGTTGTATCTGTCTCTGTCAAATGAATAAATAAAATCTTAAAAAAAACCCAAAAAGCAGCGGCTGGGTTGTTTGACTGATCCACTGGAGAGAGGAGAGCGTAGGCGTACTCGAGGAAGCGGGACGCGGGGAGGCAGAGAGAAGCTCAAGCGGACCCTCTGCTGAGGGAGGAGCCGCGGGCGCCGTGGGGCTGAGCTCCTGACCCCGAGATCACGACCTGAGCTGAAGTCAAGAGTCGGGTGCTTCACGGACTGAGCCGCCCACGCGCCCAGCCGCTGGTTTTTATGATCCTTTTAGAACAAACTACTGCCCTTTTAAACTTTAAGCCTTCACCAGTTAAAATCAAAATTATTCTTAAAAGATTTGCCTCTAGGTTCTTTCAGAAAGTTAACATGAAGTACGAACACTCAATTTTATGAGGGCAACAAAAAGGAGAGAATTTAATCACTCAGACTTAAGTAAACGTCTAATAAAATAAGAGGAGATTTTGCAATGTTTCTCTAACTCGGTTTTTCCAAAGAACCCGAAAACTCTAAAGGGCTACCCGTTACTGGGTCAACACAAACCCTCGACAACAGGCAGCAAAGAGCAGGGGCCACATGTGAGTCGGGCGGCAGTGCCGCGGGCTCCGGCCGGCACCGACGACCGAACGCCGTTCTGCTCTAAGCGAACAAGTCTCCTGGCTCAGCTGAGGCATGAGGACGCTCAGAGCGGAATTATTTTTCATTTTAGAGAAGATAAGAGATGCCAAAAAGTAAGAAGCCGGACACGGCAACTCATGTCACGGGCACAGCGCACAGGGCAATTCGGCTGGCAGCGTTTCGAGGCCGAGCGCGCCCCCGACGGCGAGGTGAGCCCGGCCTGCGCGCACACGCGCAGCCAGCCCGCACCTGGTGGATCTGGAAGACGGAGACGAGCGCGGCGTGCAGGTAATCCTGCTGCGGCTGTTTGGTGTAGAACACCTGGATGGGGTGCTGCCGACCCTCCAGGTAGAGGACGGGCGCTCCGTTGAAATAGTGCGAGAACAGATCCACGTCCATGGTCGCGGACATGACGATCACCTGCGTTTGGGACGGAAGAGCGTGATGGCAAGGCCACGCTGGGCCTGTCCGGGTCCCCTCCGCCCCCGGCCCGGCGGGCAGCTGGTGAGGCCTGTGCCCCCATGTCCAGAAGCAGGGTGGGCAGGGGCGCCAGGCCGAGGAAGGAACTCGGGCCTCTCCAGGACACGAACCACACCTACTTTGAGAGGCAGCTTCCCCAGTTCCTTTCTCCTCTTCTGGGCGGCCTTCACCACCCCAAAGAGCACATCGGTGTGGACAGTCCGCTCGTGGGCTTCATCCAACACGACACAGCTGTACTTGCGCAGCAGAGAGTCGGAAATCGCTTCTCGCAGGAGCATGCCGTCCGTCAGGAACTTGATCCTGGTGGCCTCTGAGGTCAGGTCGTCAAAGCGCACCGTGTAGCCCACCTGTGCGAGGAACCGCTCGTTCAGTCGGTGCGGGCTGAGCAGCTGCTGGGTGCCCAGTGCCGGGCGGGCACACGCGCCCTCGTGGGGACCGCGGCCCCCTGCTCACTCGGGCACGCACGGGCAGCCGACGCGTCCCTGTAACTGCAAGTATAAGCACTACAAGGAACCTAAAACTGCTCTTACTCTAGCTACTTAATAACTTAAAGGGAAGCTACGGACAGACAAGAAAAGATGCCCCAAATACTTTAAAGCGAAATGCATAAACACACACGCAAAGCTGATGTATCCACAGTTCTGGGGCTCGTTCTCCGTACCCACATATTCGCTAAAGAAGTCCTTACGCTTTCTCAGAGATTTCAGAGGTTACAGAAGTCCGAAGAATGCTCGAGGAAAGCAACTAATTTATCCAACTTGCCAACAGACTCCGAACGCAAAGCAAACGGCACAGACACGTGAGGTCTGGGGAACGAGTGAGAGACTCAGGCCTGAGTGACCGGGGCAAGAGCGAGCCTCCCCGTGTCCGGGAGCCGGGCTCAGGAAAGCGCCATGCGGGCGGGCGGGCGGGCAGCAGAGAAGGAGGTGAGGTACCAGCTTCCCGAGCTCAGTTCTCTTCTCATCGGAGACTCTCGTGGCCAGAGAGATGGCAGCCACTCGGCGAGGCTGGGTCACCGCAATGATACCCTGGCGGCCGACCCCCCCTTCGTAGAGATACTGCGGGAGCTGCGTCGTCTTCCCAGAGCCCGTTTCCCCTGAGAAAGAAGACAAGTCTCACCTACATGCGAGTTAACACAGATTTCACCAAACCCTAAGTTGATAAAGCCCCAGGAAAACGGGCGCTCGAGCGTGTCGCTGGAGGAGCGTTCATTCGAACTGCACCTCAGAAGGCCAAGTTGTATCAGAAACACCTTTAAAAATTTTACACCCTGGACAGACAATTCCACTTGCAGGAATGGATTCTGAGGAGATAAAGATGTGTGTAAAGATTTAGCTTCCAGAGATGTGTATTCAACTTTGTTTCGGGCCGCGAAAACTGGAAACAATGTAAATGTTCAACAACAGGTAACCCGCATAGAAAACCACAGGAGGAAATACAACTGTTACATAAAACGGTTACTTCTCAGAAGAATAAATGAGATGTACTGGCGCCCACTTACACACCGCCTGCAACAAACCCCCCAACAAACTCGACACCATTCTGCAGCCTGCCCTTTCCTTCAGACCCCGCCCTGGCCCACACTTTAGGACTCGCCTGCTGTTGCCAGGTCTGCCTGGCAAACTCTACAGATGAGTCACACCTCAAACTCTCTCCCTGGGGCTCCACTGGTGGCCTCCTCCTATGGTGTCCCTCCTATTGTCCATCTCCCCTCCAGCACCGACCACCTTACACTGCACCAACACCGCAAGTCCCTGGAGGGCAGGGAAGGTCGACCTGTCTCTTCCATGAACTTGAGCATCCTACATACAGTTAGCACCCAATGTTATTTCCCACCCGCGTGGGCTCCTCTAACTATACCTAAGTAGAACAAAGAATCTGGTAAACCTGGGCATCCTTCCCCTCTGGCTACCACTAAGCTGCTCTGACCTTAGAGTCCTAAATAGGGTTATTCTTGCATTTCCCACTCTGCTCATCCTCCTGACCCAGCCAAGAATCACAGACTAAGAATGTGATTATTCTGCCGCATTCCTGCTGAATCCACCAGGCAAAACCCCAAATGTGGACCGAGGTCTCCCTGTCCATCTTTTCTGCTCTTACACCAGACCACTGGGCATTGCTAACGTAAAACAGCGCACGCGTGCGGATGAACATAGGATATGGAAATGTGAAGACACGAGTGTGTAGTGGGGCCGAAGCACCTGGACTGCAGCAACACCGCTGACCCTGTTCTCGCTTCTGCAGCCCGGCTCTGTCCCCATCCTCCCCAAGGGGCCACCCGAGGCCCCATGACGCCCGTTCTCAGCACAGCTCCGGCACCTATTCCTATATAACTGAAGTCCTCACGTGTGCTCTCCCGCCCCCACAAACTGCACCCCGGCCACACCCATGCCCACCTCCTTTCGCCAGCTCCCAGCCTCCTGGATGTCCTTCCTCCCGTTCCTGGCCAGCTTGCTTCCAAGCGCCCCCTGCCCCCCTAGCTCCACTCTATTCCTGCGGCTTTCCGTCTTCAGCCCCTTCAGCTCTTCCCCTCAACCAGCGAACGCACACGCCTCAGCTTCCTCCCCTTCCTGCCCTCAGCCCGGGGGTCAGTCTGCTCCTACCGCCCAGCTTTGCCGAAGGCGCGCTCAAGGGCATGCACAGTCGGTACCCCGCGCCCAGATCCAGGGGGCACGGCCGGGTACCTGTAGGGGCCTCACCGCTGCATCCGTTCGCTCCCTTCTCGCGACGACCCTACTCCTCTGACTCCCGCCCTCCCGGGTCCCCTCCCTCCGCCTCGAGCGCTCGTCCCCGCCGTCCTCCGGGAGCTCTTCCTAACGTGCGCGCTGGAGACCAGCGCCCCCGAGTCCCAAGCCCGCCTCCCCGCGCGCGCACCAGAGGCCGCGAGTCCGCGTCAGCCCCGCCCGCCTCCCCCCTCCCGGCGGCTCCCCCGCAGCGGGCCCGTCCCCGTGCGCGCGCCGCGCTGCCCCGGGGGCCGCCTCCGTCGGCCGCCGCGCCCCGGGCCGGCCCCCCTGGGCCCCGCAGTCCCCGGCACGCCCCTCCGCCGGGCGCGGGCTGGCGGCCCGCGGCGGGGCTTCGGCCCCGAGCGCCTCGCGCCGCCCACCGATGAGGACGGCGCTGTCCAGGTTCCGGAGCTGCGCCAGCAGCCGCCCCCGCGCCGGGAAGATGGGCAGGCTCCGGCGCTGCCGCTCCACCGCCTCGGGGTAGGGGCTGGCCGCGGGCGGCGCCCGGGCCGACTGCTGCCCCCGGCCCCCGCCGCCGCCGCCCGCGGCCAGCAGCATCACCACGCGCCCCGCGGGCGGCCCGCAGCCCGGCCGGAACCTCTTGGCCGGCGGGAAGCCCGCCTCCTCGGGCATGTCGGGCGGCCGCCGCGGCGGGAGGCCCGCACCCCGCGGCCGACGCAGGCGCGTGCGGCCCCTTCCTGCCGCGCGCCGCGGCGCCCGCCGATGACCTCACGGCCGCCGCCGCCGCCGGCCTCCGCAGAGGACTACGGCTCCCGGCGTGCACTGGGGGCCTGGGCCGGTGCGCGCGAGGGGGGCCGGAAGAGGGGGCCGCGAGGTCCGACCGGGAGGAAGCGCCGGAGCTACAACGGTGAGGGGCGGGAGGCTCGGTTCCGGACGCCTCCGCCAGCGATACTGACGCTCCTCCAGACCGTTCTACTGTCCTGGTAACACGGTTTCCTCGCGGTGAACACGCGTCTCCCCTCGTCGCCCACAGCAACACCCGCTCTGCAAGGGTAAAATCAACGGGGAACGCGCAGACGCGGGCACTGCTTAGCCCTCTGTGCACGCCGAACGGTAGATCCTGACGTGAGCCGCGAGAACCAGCCCCTGGCATCCCCGAAAGTCACTCGGACGCCCCCGCTGTTAGGGCCGGGGAAGGTCTCGGAGGGTATGCCGCTGACAACCGAGTTCTCTCGGGACCGGGGCTGCGCGGGTCAGGCCGGCAGGGAGGGGTTCAGTGGCCGGCGGGGACTGTGGCCCGCGCTTCCTCCCCAGCCCCCTCCCCGGTTCCTCCCCAGCTCCCAACCCCCTTCCCTCCCCACCTCCCCCAGCCCCCTCCCCAGATCTCCCCCCTCTTCCCTCCCCAGGTCCTCCCCCAGCTCCCTCCCCCTGCCCCCTCCCCGTCCCCTCCCCAGCTCCTCCCCAGCTCCCAACCCCCTTCCCTCCCCACCTCCCCAGATCTTCCCCCCATTCCCTCCCCGCTCCCTCCCAGCTCTGGCCCCCCCTCCCAAGAACTCTTCAGAGGCTGCCAGGCCCATCACACACACCCCACCAATGAAAAGATTCAAAACTCCAGCAGGGAAGATAGGACGAAACCAGCAAATTGTCTCCTCCTGCATCCAGATCGCTCAGCTGCTGGTTTGTGGCAAACAGTGGTGGGAAATATTTCCAGGGAATTCGTTGGATGCTTCAACCCTCTGAAGGACTAAGGCATCCTCTGAAGTCTATCTCGGGGGAAACTCATCCTGTCTGTAAGCCTGTTAAAAATCCTTCTTCCCCTTTCCTCCAGGGAAGAGATGATTTTCCTCTGGTTGCTGGCGGCGTGGCCATCAAGGGTGGCTGAGAACGTGCATGCTGAATTCATAGCACATGCGCGTTCAGAATTGACAACATGTCACTTCCTACCCCAAAATATTAACTTAGGCAACTCACCCACAAAAAGAAAGAAAGAAAAGAAACAAACAAAAAAAAGGCAGCCCAAAACTGAAAGGGAAGTAACTAGTCTGTTCAGGCTGAGGGGCACGCATTGCTCCCAGTCCGGGAGGCCAGGAAGCACCAGCGTGGCTGCCATGTGGCTCGTGGCTACTGCTCGCTGCCCTGTCCTCACAGTGAGGTGGGGACCAGGGATCTCTCCGCGGCGGTTTGATAAGGCCTTCATCTCATCGTGAGGGCCCCTCCCGAAGGTCCCACCTCCTAACACCATCACATCGACGTAGGAGTTTTGGGGGGACACAGACGTTCACATCACAGCAATAACTAAATGTTGACTCTCAGATTGTGGACCTTGCGTCTGTAACAGACGGACATCCGTCCTTTTTCCCCAGGTGCTTTCCAGAATAACCTCCTCGAGGAGACCCGTGTGCCCATGACTGCGAGAGTCTAGGTCGGAACACGAACGAGGGAAGTGGCTTCTTGGAGGAGCCCATGCCCCATCCCGAGAAGCAGCCACGAGCTGTCACGTCTAGACAGTAGCAGCCAGGCAGGCCCGGGATTGCCGGATCTTCCCATTTTTTCAAGAAAAGCCCCAAGTGAAGATTTTCCTGTGAAATCGGTCCATTGTAAACCTTGGCTCCAATTTTAAAAATGGTGCAGGCAAAATAAACCACACACGTGGGTGACTCATCCCCCGTCTTTGGCCCAGGGACCCTGCTGTGCTGCAGCCTCCCGGCCCTGTGGGAGGGGTGTTGACGCCTAAAATTCTCGGCAGGTCCCAGCCAGTGTTGTGCATGTCGCCCACCCCCCACGGGAGGAGCCTGAAGTCTGTGGGCCCTCCGAAGGCAGTCTCTTGTGGGTAAGTGGCTTCCCCATGCAGGCGATCGTAAGATAACCATTCCAAGAATGTCAGGGCTCTTCTTCCAAGAGGGGAGTTGTCAGACACGTTTCATTTTTAACTCTCTGGACCTTCTGTTCTTCCCAGGAGCTCCCAGCAGGTGGCCGGCTGGCGTTGTGGGTCGGCTGGGGGGAGCACCACAGGCTCACTTCGGCCCCACCCCACTTTCAGATGACGCGGAGCCTCAGGCGCTGGGTACGGGTGTGTGTGCACATACGTTAGTCCCTGTATAGTTAAAAATACCAGTAATAGTCTGCTGATCAGTAGAGTGTTTGTTCAGCACCCGTGTGCCCAGCACCGTGCCAGGCACTGCGGTGGAGACAGGACTCGGGGATGTGGACCTGCCCCTTCCGGGGCGCGCATTCCCACGCGGGAGGCAAGACTCACGTCCGTGGACCAGCCCGGAGCGGTGCAAGACAATTTGTCATTTGGTGTGAGAGTGTGTCGTACAGACTTGAAGCTTGATAGGGACCCAGAGAGAGACCGGGAAGGAGGCCTCAGGGTCAGGACTTCCTGAGGCGCCAGGAACGGGGCCAGTCTAAGAAGAGACCTCAGTCCCTCCCTGCTAGGGACAAACAGAACGCATTGGATTTGGGGGCTAAGAAGTCACCGTGGACTTTGGAGCAGAGAAGGGGCTTGTCCGTGTCAAGTTCAACAACTTTAACGCAAACTCATGAAATAACGGGAGTAGCTTCGGGGACAGTCCTACAGCATGGAGAACCCCGCGGTGTCGCAACCAGCAACACAGACAGCACTCACCTGTCCTAGCCCGGCTGTCAGGGAGACGCGACGATTCCAGGAGCCCCTCACCCAACAGCTCAGTGTCCCCAGGTTTCCACAGGCCCCACACGGGGGGAGAGGGGCTTCACTGCCAAGACCCAGGGCTTGGCGCTCTGCTCTGCATGGGGAGAGACCACACACGAGGTGGGAAAGGCAGCGGGACCCACAGGAGGGACAGAAGAAAGGACACACGGAAGAGAGACTCGAACAGAAATACCTAGTGAAGAAAACACACCAAAACGTATGGAAAATCTGTCTCCTAGGGAGATGCGAGGTCCTCGTCCGTCGTTCTCTTAACGAGCCTCTGTGACATTCCTCCAACAGCAAACTCTGCCTCACTCAGGTGTGCTTCTGGTATTACTGGTAGAATCCAGGTGTGTCGGGGAAACGGCGCACAAAATCCCGACTATCAGTTCTCACTGCACAACAGAAGAGCAGCGTGTTCTGTAGGGAGTCGGGACGGAGACGGGGAGCTGGGGGAGAAGGGGCTTTCCTCACGCCCAGGCAGGCGGCGCAGGGTGAGGGATCACGGCGGGGGCCCGCCTCGCGGGTGGGGAGGTCGGTGATCGGGGTCACCACTGCCTGGGACACGGCCGAGGGGCAAGGAGCGGCATCCTCGGAATCCTCATCCTGTAACAACACGGAAATGAAAATCCCACCACTGACCACATTTAGTTAGGCCACCAATTCCGAATCGGTTTCCTGTTCTACTGTCATCACTATGTACAGACATTCTCTACTTAAAACCAGAGAAACCTATTTCTAGACCCTAAATAGATCATTTTAAAAACCCTAATTATTACACCAGAAAGTAATAACGTACTACATGTTGGCTAATTGAACTTAATAAAAAAAATAAAAAATAAAAAAGCAAAACAAAACAATAAAAATCCCTAATTAAATTCATGCTTTTTTGAACAGAGACAAGACGTGATAAAATTTAAGAATCCCATAAAGATTGTACATTCTCAGATTGGCATTTCAAGCTTTTTTTTTTCATTGCTTAGAAAAAAGCCGTCCCACGAACACGTTCCATAAAGTTGCAACACCCGTGTTCCAAGTTACTGACCAGCAGCACGTCCAACATCGGTCTTAGTTTCCATCACTTACACACGAGCCATGGGAAGACATTCAAATACTTTCTACTTCCCCGTCCCCCCGACGATCCCCTTACTCTGAACCCCATGCTCATCTCTCTGAGGGAAATCTCTCTCTGGAAGAGCTACCACTTACCCAAGCTGCGACTACCGGGCAAACGGTCCACACCTCCGTCCCGTTTGCTAAAACCATCTGCAACCGTCTCTTCCCTACGGGGGTCCACTTCATGCCTGTGGGTTCTCTCAACGACTTAGACCCTTTGAGCGCAAACCTGCCGAGGCCCAGGGAAATTAATATTTGGACAGATCTTCATGGAATCACGGGCATCAAGTGTCTCCTCCTCCGGACCGTGTCTAATTTCTACCTGATGGCGAAGGTAAACCAGGTGCTTGGCTCTGAAAAGCTGGTGGGCTTTTCATTAAGCAAAATGACCCATGTGAAACCAGCCCAGGACCCACGGACTCCTGCCTAACAGGTACCTGTTCATCTGGCTCCAAAGTCAACACCCCAAGTCTAAAACCGATCTGTTGTCCAGGAGGGTGGGCACGAAGTGTCTTTCCCTGGAGCGTTCTTAATGGAGAAACACAAGCAGAGTCACTAAGATGCCACGTGAGCCCTGAGCCGGCCCTCCTTAGCCCTGCCGTGGCAAGAGCCACCCTACCTGCCCTGTTTTCCCTGCATGCGACAACTGGCAGTTTCGCAAAACCCAGACGGAGAACAGCTCTCTGGACACCACCAGCCCATCTTCTTCCTACTGGAGCTGGTGCCGTGCATGAGTAAGCTGTGTGCACAGCCACGGCGCATCGGCCACGGCCTTCCATCCTGGCACGCAAGCCCGTCGAAAGCTGTGAGGCTGGGACCAGCGGGCCCGGAGCTGCTGTGAGCCCAGGCCTGCACAGCAGGGCCAGAACCCATGTGGTCACTCAAAAGATCACACACAAAAGCTTTCGTTCAGTGAGAGAGATGGAACTCAGTTTTATTGTGTCCTCTCTGAAACTTCCATTTACCCACGGCCTCATCTATCAAAGAGGAGGAGGGAGCTCTGGATGAGTCCCCAGAGCTCGAGCGCGTGGGGATGTGGTGGCTGGCGGCGGTCCGGCTCGGAGAGATCACGTTGCCAGGGCCGGTCTGACCGGCCGCTCCGAGTGCGTTTGGATCCGTTAGTGTACCATTCCATAAAGTGCTTCTGGAGTTCAAACCTGCCAAGCCGTCAAAAGCGTCCACACTTTCATGACACAAAGGCTAAAAGAATCCCAACGGGTGTGCCACCGAGTCCTTCCCAGCTGGGTCTCGTGGTTGGCACCGGCCGCTTTAGCCGCCAAGGCGCTGGCCCTCACCCCAGGCGAAGCCTCCTGGCCGCTCTTCAGGTAGTGGATTGTAATTTGGATCCTCATCTGGTGTATCAAAAATAGCCTTCCTAAAAGGCAACAGAGATCACTTAGTCCCGCAGTCACCTCGAGAAGGTCCCCCAGAGCCCCCACCAAAGGACAAACATTACACCCACCTACCACAAAGTCATCGCGCTAAGAAAGTTTCACGATCATTTCATGTTTGCGTTAATGCTTTACCTCCAGGACTATTTTTTTTTTTTTTTTTTAACTACGAAAGCAATACATGTTAGTTGTAGAGAAAACACAAAATATACACAGACATCCTTAATCTCCAGAGAGAAATCACTGTGGGTGTTGTCATCATTCTTCCACAACTTTTCTGTGTGTAACAAAAGTTAGATCACACTATTGTTTTGTAACCTGATTTTCCATGAATTTATCACGAAGGTCTCTCCGCAACCAAGGTATCGCCCCGTACCCACTGGCAGATGGATGGATCAAGAAAAGGGTCCATCCACACAACGGGATAGTATTCAGCCTTAAAAAGGAAGGAGGTTCTGACTCCCGCGACATCGTGGATGAGCCCTGAGAACACCATGCTCCAACAGCCAGACACGGGGCAGACACTGCGGGATTCCACGTGTGAGGGACCGGGAGCAGTGCCGTCACTGCCGAGGCTGGGGCGGGGACGGAGCGTGTTCCTGAGGACAGAGTTCACTTTGGCAGGCTCGACAGCTGAAGGATGGACGGGGCCACAGAAACACAACGTGAGGGCAGTAATGTTACGGAATGGCACATCTGAGCTGCGTAACGGGACACACTTCATGTTACATAGATTTTATCACAACTGAAGTTAAAAAAACCTCACAAGTCATTCCAAGAAAAATTATGCAGATCACAGGAAAGGACAGTCAGTGTCCAAAAGACTTTTAAAATCCCGTTAGACGGTCATTCAAGTTCCCCTTAGAGAACTGACCATTAAAACAGCATCTGCTCTTTGGATCCGTGTTTCCTTTTTTTTTTTTTTTAAACTTTCTTCTTTTCTATTTTTTTTTTTTAAGATTTTATTTATTTATTTGAGAGAGAGAGAGAATGAGAGACAGAGAGCATGAGAGGGAGGAGGGTCAGAGGGAGAAGCAGACTCCCTGCCGAGCAGGGAGCCCGATGCGGGACTCGATCCCGGGACTCCAGGATCATGACCTGAGCCAAAGGCAGTCGCTTAACCAACTGAGCCACCCAGGCGCCCCTGGATCCGTGTTTCTAATGACACTGCCCACGGCTGGTACCGTTAGAAATGCATCCAAAAACTTCTATCTTATAGTGGGGTCAGGAAAAGCATCTATACTTCAGCATGAGCTGCTTGAATTCTTACAAACTAACAATAAAAGCAAACACACACTGGCAGAAAAATACAGGGCTGAAGAGGCAATTCGAAAAGGAAATCCAAAAGGTCAATAAACATGAACACGTTCACTTTTGTAAAAACGGAAAGAAAACATGTTAAACAGCGAGGCCGCTTCTACTTCCCGAACAGGCACGGGACAGAACAACGTGGGCACGCGAGCAGGGAAGTGGAGCCGTGGTGGCCCCGAGCCGGACGGGGGTTGGAGGGACATCCCAGTGGCGTAGGGCGCACACCCATGGACGGGCCTGGTGCAGCGTGGTGAAGCCTGAGGAGGCTTCAGGCGGGCATTCCCTGAAGAGGGCAGCCACCACGGGGGTGCGGGCAGAGCAGGACGAGAAGGCGTCCGAGCGGGGGGCGGGCGGGCAGCACCGTGATGAGAGGCTGGTTACGCACGGGGCTCACTAAATAGGTGGAGAGAGCAATGACCACAGGGTCAGGTCCCTCAGTGTCGGTGAGAATGGGGGCGCTACGTGCATCTCAGCAAACGGCACAGACCCCTCTACGTGCGAGACCACAGGCGGCTCTTGAACGCCCACGGGTGGATGGAAGCAGCCGTATGGTGACCTTAATCATCAGAGCGACGACCGCCACTGTGAAGATCGGTGCCCGGAAACCCGGTGCTGGCGGCCGTGGGGAGAAGGGCACGGGGTCACTTCTCTGACAGTCCTGCCAAGGACACGACACCTGAAGCTCAATGTCAGGGACGCTAGACAAACCCAGTGGCGGGACATCCTACAGAAGGGGCCGAGAATCCACAGAAACGTGAGGGCCACGATGGCAAGGTGAGACGCAGGAGCTGTTCCACCCTGGCAGAGACGAAGAGGCGTGACAAGCCAGTGCGACACCTGGGCCTGAGCTGGACTCTTCCTGCAAGAGCGCCTCCTGGAACAACGGCCAGGCGTGGCTGGGCTCTGAGGACTCAGGCTTTTCCTGATTGTGACTATGTAGGGAAACGTCCTTCTTCATGGAAAATACACATTCATGGGGGGGATCATGGGGCATTTGATGGGCAGTTTACTTTCAAACACCTAAGGAATAAAAAGTCCTTTGAAGGGTTTGTAATTTTCTGTAAGTCTGAAATTCTTCCCCCCAAAAATTCGTAAAATCGGGGCACCTGGGTGGCTCAGTCGTTGGGCGTCTGCCTTCGGCTCAGGTCATGGTCCCAGGGTCCTGGGGTCAAGGCCCGCGTCGGGCTCCCTCCTCCGCGGGAAGCCTGCTTCTCCCTCTCCCACTCCCCCTGCTTGTGTTCCCTCTCTCGCTGTGTCTCCCCCTCTGTGTCAAATAAATAAAATCTCAAAAAAAAAAATCATAAAATCGTAAACAAACAAACCCATAAAACGAGACGGCATCTTACAGCTCTCCCCCCAGGAAAAAGTAAACCATCCTCCCATGTCGGACAAGGCTGTGGGGAAAGGGACGCTCTACGTGGCTGGCAGAAACGTCAACCTGAGCATCCATTCTGGGTGGCGACTCGTGAATAAACAACAGAGCAATCCCACTTCCAGGAGTGCAGCCGTCGCAAACAGTCACGGACGTGTGCCACCCAAGGAAAGCCGCACTGATTCGGCATCTATCGGTAAAAGGGAGGAGTCCGCGGTGCTGGTGTGGTTCCGTAGGACATTTGTAATGGAAAAACGATTACCACGTATGACATCGAAAAGGAGCTTACGAGAGTTTTTAGAAATTTAGCACCCACACAGCAAAAGACGGAAGAATATGTATCAAAAGGTCAACAATAACAGCCACTGTTCCCACTAAGTGGGACGATTATGGAGAGCTGTACTCTCTGCTTTGCTTAACTATTTGACAACCAACATTTTATAATAAACACTCACATTTTACTCCTTCTAAATGCAGCAGGTCTCAAGGACACAACCTTCTGGAGTAGGAAGAGGTCCCATAAACCAAAGCTCCACTCTCAGGAAAGCGAGGGACAAGACGGAGACGGACTTTCTTAATGTCACACAGCGGATCAGCCTACACCTGGTTCCCAGTCTGCCTCACGGCTTAGCTCTCCTTCTCTTATTTTCTGGAAGGCCAGAAATCCCACCACTAGAAACGTCCTTGTGGTCAGTTTCACCCATTGCACCACCTCGCCTCTGTAAGCTCAGACAGCGGCTCTCCGGGACCCCGCAGGCTCTGGCGCTCAGCGGGCAGCCTGCCACGTCACCCTCAGGACACCCCGAGCTCGTGGAGCTCACTCCTGCAGGACTCTGGCACCGTCCGCTCCGACCCAATCCAGATGCTCATCCACTGCAGCCCGTGGCTCAATCTGCGAATACTGACTGACCCGAACGACGAGCGCCAGGAGCTATGGGAGCCCCATGGAAACACAGATCACGGACCCTGGCCCGCGTTATCTGCAAGGAACGTGCAACCTGATGTCCATACTCACAAAATAGACGGTGTTTTCAGAATTCTGATGCCACCAGGCTGATTGGGAAATACGTCTTCCAAGAAAAAATATATGTGTCCGACTGCAATGCCTAGAGTCGCCCAGAAACAAAGAACGAAGGAGAGGATGAAAATTTTGACTGCAGGTGGATCTGCCAACATAAATTCCATACATTTAGGAAGAAATGTCAATATAATTACTCAGAATTAAAGGATATTGTAATCTTTGAGCCTATAACCACCAAATAATCCCAAGACAGCCATATGTGAGTGCCAGATGTAAAAATCAGTGGCAGAGTTAAGTTCACACGCCAAGTAATAGAACAATAGCAATGAAGACTCTTACCCAGGAGGTCCACAATGATCGAGTTCCCCAGCAACAAGGAAAAGCCCATGAGCACCCAGGGCAGAAAGGGGGCCTGGAAGTTGAGAAGGCCGAAGAAGTTCATGCGCACATACGGGTTCCTTCGGCTCCACACGTAGACGAGCATGATCGTAAAGGCCTGGCCCAGGAAAACTAAGCTCACAAACAAACCAAAAAGCTAGCAAGTAGCGTTAAGGAAAACCTCAACATCACACGTGTAACAGGGAAGGCTGAGCAAGAGAACGAAGGGCTGTGTTCTAACAGAGGTCTGAGGTAGGGAAGTCCCACAATCATTAATCTTTAGAGGAAAAGAAAGCCTGAAAATAATTACCCAGAGCAACCAGGCAAAAATGCGTGTAGGCCAAAACATCTGGACTACAGCTGCTTCCCAGTAATATTCTGTTTCCATGAAGTTCTCAACTATTTGGAACATATAATAATTCCTTGGTCAATAATTACATTAAACTTCACTCACCACTAGCACCTTTAAGAGGTGAGTAAAGCCAGCCGGAGCCAAACCATCTTGTCAGACCAGACTACGTTCAAGTCTAAATTATACTAATTTATCAGTTTCGATAGCGACCGAATGTCTCACCAACTTAGTTTAAAAGTACACACACCGAGGGGAACCCGGGGTGGCTCAGTCCGTTAGGTGTCTGACTCGGTTTTGGCTGAGGTCACCCTCCCCCCAACAACAAACTCTCTCTAAAACCAACCAACCAACCGTACACGCATGGACAGTCCTCCATCTGATGGACAGTCCTCCATCTGAAGTAGTGGCAGTGACCCACCTGTTACTGCTAAACGCCCCTCTGACTCGCCCACCCCGAGGCTCAGACGCAGTCACGGAGCGCAGGCTGGGAAGCGGCCACAGTGCCCGCACCGACGGTCAGGAGGGCCGCCCCATCCGTGTGCTGAGCTTATCTAGCGGACTGTGGAAGACAGCTGGAGGCCTTTGGCAAGACAGAGGGTGTTCGTGAGCGTTTTCCCGTATTTGCTCTATTTGTTGAAGGATACGGTCATTAAGAATCCACCAAAAAGGAACATAAATACAAAGTCTGCTGTCCGACCTCGGAAAGAGCCTTCTTCTAGCATTCGACAGTAGCGGTATCTTAAGTTCCAAGTTAAGAAAATGGTAAGCACACAAGTGGGAAGAAAGTCAAGTTTAACGTATGGCTGCAGTACACTGGGCTCCGCGTTAGCCGTTCGAAGCCAAGCCTTCGCTTCCGCGAGCGTGTCCACGAGGGGCAGTGTGGGGATGTCCCTTCCACCCGGCGTTTCGGGCGAGGTGAAGACCAGCTCCACGGTACACACACTGCTCCCGACTGGGGAGCGAAGCCCGAGGCCGCACACACGTGCTTGCAGGGACTCAGGAAACCTTTCCAAGCTGGGTCGTCTTTCCCGGACACAGCCCCACCACGACCTGAGCCACCCTTGTTTTTTCACAGCCCAACTTGGAAGAAACGCCCGGCAAGAAGCCTCGCGTGAGCATCTACTTTTGCAGGCCAGGCAGACTCGGCATTTCTATACCTCAGTTAATAAAGACGCATCATGAGGAAAATATTTCATTATTAGAAACTTACCAGGATGGCGTATCTCACAGGACACACAGGAATCCATCGGGCAGGGATCCTGTCACCCCAACAAGGCCCCGTCTCCTGCACACGAGCTGAGCTGTAACTCCCCTCTCAATCCAGAGGGTCACGTAGAAGAGGAATGCCCCGTTCAGGGGGCCCAATTACCACCTGACCAGAGCATCCCTCTTCCCCTTGCAACAAGCAGCAAGTGGCCTGCCAGGGAGACATATGGCATGGTCTTTCCAGCCAGTAGGACCCGCAACCAAGACCCAGGGAGCCCTCACGTTCTCCAGTCCCCAGGAAGCCGATCCCAGTCCTGTGCCGACACTCTGGGACTCATCACCGTATTCGGGTACCTGCTGATGTTATGTTGCAAATATGCCTCAAAGAATCCACTGCTCTCCCTCGATCTGATTTGTAAGGGATTTACGGGCAGTAGTGTACTCATTCTTCGAGTGAATACCTCCCATCAGAACAAACAGGAACCGACAAACACCCTCAAAACAGGACTTTCTGACCAGCTAATCTCTACCACGGACCCAGCACCCAGAAGTCACAGTTAGGAGAGTAACAAAACCAGCAGCATCAGAAGCTTCAACTTACATTGTATTCCCTAAGCAAACCTCCAGGTTTTATGCTAACCCCACTTGATAAAGGATACAGAAAAATCATGTTAAATAAAAAATTGAATCCCACTGGACCAAAAAATAAGAAATTGGTGATTAGCCTCCATATCTGTTAAAAGAAAAAAATCGAGAAAAGACACATTAAGTAAAATATACTAGGAAACATTTCCACATTAAGACAAAAGACATATCCTGGGGTTGCAGTGGTGTGAAAGGCCATGAGTAAGCGACATTATGATCTGAACCAGAAAGTGGGGCGCACGTGATCTGACACTGGATTTCTGTGCTGTTTCCAGTTGGAAGTCTGAAAGGTATCACTCGGCCCCTGAAATCTGCAAATAATAGGACAGAAAACTTGAAATTGTCGTTGTCTTAAAAAAAAAAAAAAAGCCCGGACCATATGGTCAGGCGAATCATGGGAAAAGCTGGATGGGACGACGACGTTAATTCGCAGAACAGAAACCAGGGCTTTCGTGTGTCTAGTGTCAGAATCTAACGAGCAGTCTTGAGAGGCCACAGAGAAACTCCAGAGGTCTCACTTAAATTGCCAAGAAATGTTTCTATATTAGTCCCTAAGAAACATCCAGAGGAAAGAGTAATTCTAGAACATTCAAGTTCTAGTCTGAGCAAACAGCCAACACCCTACAAGTAAAGCTCTAATGCTCTAATAATTAGTCTCATTGGCAGATACCAGGACACTCGTTTTCATGTTGGAAACCCTGATACCCTTTTCCCTACCCAACCCATCCACACCCACAATAAAAACAACTACTCACGATGGGAGAGAACTTCACATTTTAAAATGTTTTAGCACAATCTATAATCTCGTGTGATCCTAATAACCCCGTGAGACACAGGCTGGTGCTCCCATCCCCATGTCACACAGGAGGAAATAGGGACACTTGGAGAGCGTGAAAACGGCCTGCCCAAGGGAACTTGTACGGGGAGACTCTGAATCCAGGCCTGGAAATCCCAGCTCCAAATGCGGATACATGGTGTCGTCAAGAGTTTAACCCCAGGCAAAACCGAGCCAAGCATGTTAACAGGAAGCAGTGCTTGGATGGAGCTACAGTGCCCAGCAAAGGCCAGGTGAGCAGTGAAGGACGAAGGCAGTGACAAGAGTCCACAGGACTGCCTTGTGCATCATTCAGTTCTTCAGAATTGGAAACAAAGGTGAAATAATTCAGTTCTACATACTAACTGCCTCCAGGATTTGAGAGTCCCCAACTTATCGAGGAGACAAACATCTAATCAAGTGCAAGTACAAAGCGAGAGATGCTCTAAAGGAAGTGTTTACAGATACCCTGGGGACACAGAGGAGGGTGAATCTGAGAAGCTACACAAAAGCTGGAGCTCAGTGGGTGTAAAGTGAATGACACACATTCGACAGAGGGAAATTACTGACTCTTGGTCCTCCTCCCCCTCCAACTGGTTATCTGATCATCCCTGAGCAGGAAAACACACCTTTCTTTGAGCATTCTAATTACTGGAAAGGACTAGCTCCTACGAGAATCTAATAAACTGGCATGTTGTTTAAGGAGTCAGTCTTTTGGACTTCTGTTAATACCATCTGATCCCTGGAAGACGGATCAATCTAAAAGCACTAACAGAGTCGAGTTTCTGAACTGGACGGTGGTGATAACACCGATGTGTTACGTGGACAACCTAGGGCATCCTCTGAGGCTCTCCCTGGGCTGTTCAGTCTCCTCTCCAACTACAATATTAACTCTGAGCCAGTAATTTCTACATACAGGAACTGGACACATCTAATTAAAACCCTGCAGGGAACTTTACCAATAAAATAGAGATTCTTAATTCCTACCCTTGGTTGACTGCGGTTTGGGTACATGATGAGGAACCTGAGAATCTCTTCAAAGTTCCCTAGGTGATTCTGAAGCCCAACCAGGATGCAGAATCACATCTTTATTACCACCCTCCCCGCCCCCCCTCCCCACAATGAGACAATCAAATATTCCCACTGAATTCTTTTTTGGTAACACGTGGAAGGACCTGCTACCAAAAAGTATGAAAAACAAGTTAAACAACTGAAACATGAGCTGTGGTTGTGATGGACCACTTACTTGAAAGTGTTTAAAGATTAATTCAGGATTGAAGTACAACTGAAAAGGTGTGATCAACTCCAACTGCTGAAAAAGAAAAGAGCTTCTTAAAGCAAATCGACCAACAAACAGAACATCATCTACGACAAACGATCAGTAGGTCTAGCAGCTTCCAACTCTCAGTCACTCTGGCTGAGCCCTTCAAGGCTCTTCTTCTTAGGCAAAAAGGTCGGTAAAGGGTTCTGCAGGAATCGTCCAATCTTCTGTACCCCTCTTGCCTGACACCAAGACAAAACTCTGTTCTACGCTGCGGGAGCCGATGCTGACCCGAAGGCAAGGGGGGCAGGTGCCGCTAGCCTAGATCCAGGGCAAGGAGAAGGGCGGCCACGCATCTGCCCGCCGCCCGGCCCCCGCCTCAAGCAGCCGTGCGAGGCGACCCAGCCCCCCGAGAACCGAGACTGAAGACGCCGCCGCCGGCAGGGCTGGGCGCCTCCAGGCAGTCTGTGTACCCGGACTCTCTGCCCCCCTCCGTCCTCGACGTCGGAGCGGACCGTCTCCCCGCCAGTCACCACCGTCCCACCCGCCCAGCGCCTGCCTTCTCGACAGCGCCGAGCTGCTGCGGGCCCGGCCTTCCGCTCTCGGAAAGCAGCCGCAGCCCCGCCCCTCCAGCCCTCGCGGGCAGCACCGCCTTCCCGGCTCGCCGCACAGGCCGCCCCGGACCCCAGCGGGCGCCCCGCACGCCTCCACCCACCCCGGAGGCCAAGCCCTCTGGGCTTCCCCGAGGCCCCGGCGGGGCGCAGCGCGGACGGAGAGCCTGGCGCTGCAGCTGCTCACCACGGCGGCGGTGGTGAGGACGCAGGCGGTGGTGTAGGCGCGGCTGACCGGCGGGATCTGCAGGTACTCCAGCCGGAGGCTCTGGTACGCCATCTTCCCACCGCCGCCGGCCCCCCCCGCTTCCCCTTCCGCCAGGCAGCCCCGGCGGCGGGGCGGGACCAGGGCGGCTGCCGCCCAACCAGCGCCGCGCACCCGGCAGCCGCCAATCGCCAGAGCCGCAGGGAAGGCGCGCCGGCCAATCACGAGTCGCGCCTCCGCGGGGCCACCCGGCCGCCCCACCCACCAGCCCGCCAACGCCGGGGAGCGGCGTGTACGCCCCGGGGCCCTCCGCCAATCCCCGCCGGCCACAGCGGGCCCTTCCCGCCCGGCCCCTCGGCGCCCGCGAGCGAGGCGGCCCCGCGCAGCCAGCCAATCAGGAGCACGACGGCGCCCCGCCCCGGCCGGCGTCGCTCGGCGCCGCCTCTCCGCAGCGGCAGGCGGCGGCTGGAGGCGGTGGCGGGAGGCGGGCGCGTGGCCGGCTTCGTCGCCCTCGCACCCGCTCGGGTAAGGGCCGCGGGGCTGCATCCCCCCTCCGAGCCGCGGGGAGGAGAGGGTCTGCGCTCGGCACCCTCGCCGGGCGCCCGCCGCCCGGGCCGCGCGCCGCCGCCCCGAGCTCCCGGCATGCCGCGGGGCCGCGGGGCCCGACGGGAGCGGGCGGTGCGCCGGAAGCGGTCCCCGCCCGGCGTGGCTGCGGCGGGCATCCGGAAGAAGGGCGGGGTCGGGGTCGGCGTCGGGGGAGGGGTGGGCGGGAACCCGGGGAGGGGGAGACGCTGGAGGGGGCTGAGGGGGAGGTACGCTGGGGAGCGGGAGACGCTGGAGGGGCGTAGTTGGGGGGAAGATACCCTGGGGAGGGGGAGGGCGTTGGGGGGGAGAGTACCCTGGGGAGGGAGTGGGGGGAGGGCGTTGGGGGGGAGTACCCTGGGGAGGGGGAGGGCGTTGGGGGGGGAGTACCCTGGGGAGGGGAAGGAGTGGGGGGAGGGCGTTGGGGGGGGGAGTACCCTGGGGAGGGGGAGGGCGTTGGGGGGGGAGTACCCTGGGGAGGGGAAGGAGTGGGGGGAGGGCGTTGGGGGGGGAGTACCCTGGGGAGGGGGAGGGCGTTGGGGGGGGAGTACCCTGGGGAGGGGGAGGGCGTTGGGGGGGGAGTACCCTGGGGAGGGGAAGGAGTGGGGGGAGGGCGTTGGGGGGGGGAGTACCCTGGGGAGGGGGAGGGCGTTGGGGGGGAGTACCCTGGGGAGGGGAGGGCGTTGGGGGGGGGAGTACCCTGGGGAGGGCGAGGGCGTGGGGGGAGGGGGAGGGCGTGGGGGGAGGGCGTTGGGGGGGGAGTACCCTGGGGGGGCGTCCTGGCGGGAGCGCAGAGCAGCATCTTTCCTTGAAGGCGGGAGAACGTCACCGGGGAAGGAAGGTAGCTCGGTCCCCGCAGGCAGAGTGTCAGGCTTTATTCGCTCGGTTATAAGGAAGCACTTAAGGTCTTTGGAACAGGGAGTGACATCAGGTGGCGGATAAGGGAGGGTCCGGGTAAAGGGCTGGGGAGAGCGGGCTTTAGCGGGGATGAGTGGGTACTTCTTTACGGAGGGAGAAACCCGAGGAGCTCCTATGCAGGAGGAGGTGCTCGACTTCTTCACCAGTGATCTGAGAAATCCGCGTTAAAATAGCTTTGCCTGGGGGCACCTGCGACTCTGGCTGGGGGGTTGTGAGTTAGAGCCCCACGCTGGGTGTAGAGATGACTTAAGAAAGTAAAGTGCTGTCTGCTCCCCAAATGTCACGCTCACAACCTGTTGATAGAGTGCTGAGTGTGTTGCTTGCCCTGGGAGGGATGAAGGGCAAGATGGGACGTGTTTGAGAATCGCAGGTGTAGACCGAGCTGAATCTTCCCATTCGTGGGGCTTGATGAGGATTGGGTGGGGGTCCTGCACTTACAGTCCGGGATTGGTAGAAACAGGTGAGGCAGGGGTTTCAGAATCTTACCGGACATATTATGGGTTCTTCCCACTGGAGAGTTGATCCCATTGAACAATGAAAATATTCTGGGAGACCAGAGTAAGAAAGTCATACTAATGTAAATAGTAGGTTAGGTGGGATGGGGAGAGTGTAGGTTCAGCCCTTGGTGTCCAGCCTGTGTGTGGGGGGGGTACATACATGGTTTTGGTTTTCTTTCTTTCTTTTTTTTTATAAATAAGTTCTCATAACTTAATTTTTTTAAGAGAGTGCCTGAGTGCGTGAAGGGTGGGGGGGCAGGGACAGAGGAAGAGAGAATATCTTAAGAAGGCTCCACACTGGGTGGGGCTTGATCTCACGACCCAGAAGTCATGACCTGAGCCGAAGCGAGGAGTTGAACACTTAACTGACTGAGCCACCCAGGAGCCCTGGTTTTGGTTTTCAAAAAGCAACACCCTAAAACAATTTTAACACCTACCAGCCTAGCAAAAATTAGAATGTTGAGGGCGCCTGGGTGGCTCAGTTGGTTAAGCGACTGCCTTCGGCTCAGGTCATGATCCTGGAGTCCCGGGATCGAGTCCCGCGTCGGGCTCCCTGCTTGGCGGGGAGTCTGCTTCTCCCTCTGACCCTCCTCCCTCTCATGCTCTCTGTCTCTCATTGTCTCTCTCGCAAATAAATAAAATCTTAAAAAAAAAAAATTAGAATGTTGAATAATAACAAGTGTTGATAAAGACTTGAGAAATTTTCATATACTGCAAGGGGGAGTGTCAGTCGGCCTAACCTGCCTTCTCCCCCCAGAGAACATTTCGCGGTATTTAGAGAAAAATCATGTATGAGTAAGCCACATGGCTCAGCAATTCCTTGCCAGTGTGAAAAGCCTGCAAGTCCCTGAGGAGACATTATGGGAGGGTGTTCATGACAACATTGTATCTGGGAGCAAGGTGCTGACAGCAAACCAAGTGTCTGTCACAGGAAGGGGCCTGCCGAGTGCGGCGGATGCATGTGATAAAGTTGACGGAGTACTTCAGTCAAAAGCAATGACATAAGATAACATGAAGTGATTGCAAACATAAAGAAAAATGTAAACATCTGCCTACAAAACTTTTTCAGGAATATCTAAAACTGGGGCGCCGGGTGGCTCAGGTGGTTAAGAGCTGCCTTCAGCTCTGGTCGTGACCCCAGGATCCTGGGATTGAGCCCCGCGTCGGGCTCTCCCTCTCCCTCTGCCTGCCATTCTGGGCACACTCTCTCTCTCTCTGTCAAATAAATAAATAGATAAATAAATTCTTAACAAAAAAGACTACCTAAAACTTATCCGAGGTGAATTAAAGATGGATTGAAAAGGCACATGTTAAAACGCTAGAGTGGGTTCGTATGGGAGATGAAAGATGGGAGAATAAGAAAGGACCAGAAATAGAGCGCCCTGAAATAGGAAGTATCAACTCACTGCTGTGCAGCCACGCTCCTTAAACAGGAAGACAGAGTGGTGGTTAATGAAGGCCCACGTAAGGCCTGTTGAAAGAGTTTGAACTTGATCCTGAAGGAAGGCATGGGGGAGTGGGAGGAAATGAAAATAGATGAGTACATGAAGGGGAGTTGGAAGAACAGCATATAAGGTTGTGGTCAAGAAGGAGCACTTGGGGAGAGGTTACAAATAGCGGTGGCCGGGTGGCTGTGAGAACAGAGGACAAAGGCCATTGAAACTCAAGAAACCGCATCTCTCGGGCATTGCTTAGGCCCTCCATCCAAATGTGAAAGCGGTCCTGGATGATAGCAGAGTTCAGGAGACTGAGCCCTGGGCCAGAGCCCTCTTCAACGAGAAGTGAGGGAAAGAGCCTCAGAGAGCCAAGGGTTTGTATCCTGTTGTGGACGAGGAGGGCTGCGGGTAGCATTAGGCTTCAGGAAACACACGCTCCTTGAGTTGCGTTCGCCTGCTTCCTGGCTCTCTCGAATAGGATTTGTCACTTTCATCAGATGATTTCTTACCCAGATGAATTTTTTCCTTTTTACATTGGCAGATTTTTTCCAGTGAAAATTAACCACGCAAAGTAAGCGAAGATGTCCGTGGATCCAATGACCTACGAGGCCCAGTTCTTTGGCTTCACGCCACAAACCTGCATGCTGAGGATCTACATCGCATTTCAGGACTACTTGTTTGAAGTGATGCAGGCCGTGGAGCACGTTATTCTGAAGAAGCTGGATGACATCCCGGGCTGTGAGATTAGCCCCGTCCAGATTCGTAAATGCACAGAGAAGTTTCTTGGCTTCATGAAAGGACGTTTCGATAACCTTTTTGGCAAAATGGAGCAGCTGTTTTTACAGTTGATCCTGCGTATTCCCCCAAACATCTTGCTTCCGGAAGATAAGCCTCAGATGCACCCCTGTACTGAGGAAGAATTCCATCTTCTCCAGAAAGAAATCGAACAGCTACAAGAGAAGTATAAGACTGAATTATGCGCTAAGCAGGCCCTTCTCGCAGAATTAGAGGAACAAAAAATTGTTCAGGCCAAACTTAAGCAGACATTGGCTTTGTTTGATGAGCTTGAAAATGCCGGCAGAGATCACGGGACTAGTGATTTTAGGGAGAGCTTGGTGTTCCTGGTCCAGAACTCCAGAAAGCTCCAGACTATTAGGGACAAGGTGGAACAGGAAGGCAAAAGAATGAAAATATCTTAATTTCTAAGTAGTAACAGGAGCTCATTAGAAAGTAGAATAGTAAGGATTTATATCAGTGATATTCTAGTGAACTGTACATCTTACGGGATTTCCTTTGTTTGCTCTTTGCTGTACTCCACACCTCGCTCTGTCTTGGTCCTCTGCTGAGGTAGCTCCGCACGCCCTGGACTAATCTCTGGAGCATCTGTTCCCTAGCGACCTCTCGTCAGCGGGTCGGGATTCCTGGTCCAGTAACAATTCCCTGGGGGCCATGACTGAAGAGGCAGGGTCTCCCTGGCCGGTCAGAGATGTTTGTAAAGCTGTTCCTTGGTCCTCTGCAACTTGGTCCTTTCGACTTACTCCTTGGATGCGATCAAATGAGAAAAAGGTGCAGTGGGTGGCTTCGTTACGAACCAGCCGCTGCCCTGCGAGACTGAAGCCAGCTCAGCCTGCCTGCTCTCGTCCGCCAGCGTGTCTTGCACGGGGACGTCAGCCGAGGGAAAGAAGCGAGTAGAACGATACACGTGATCTTCGAGAAAGAGCAAGCAAGTTGTTTTCGTTCCTAAACTAGAACCTCTCTGTGACGTGGAGCAGTCCGCCGTCGGGGAGCCCAGCAGGGGAAGACCGTGGGCGAAGGAGAGGCAGGTCTCACTGGGGTAGAAGGGGAAGCCCGGAACAGAGCCAAGAACAAAGTTGATACGAACTGACCGCTAGGCATTTATATCATTTTTTTCATGCCTCGGTTAGTTTTGGAATCTGCCCTGTACCTAATATTTTTTAAATTATTTATTCATACTCCTAAGCATCAAATATTTAGTACCCACAGTGGGGAAATTTTAGCTGTCTTGTGCTTAAATTTAGTGGAGTCTAATATTTTCTTCTGAAATTAATCCATGTGACATGTTGTGTCACCCAGAGAAAGAGCATGAATAGCAGTCAGGGCGTTTCTCTCCGTGTCTTCCTTAAAGAACAGGATTTGGAGTTTCTCCCTTATGCAGAAGAGTAACTTGGGACATTAATGTTTGCAATTAAATATTCATAGATTTAAGATGCCTGTGTTTACCTGGAATATGTTTATCATCAAAGAGTCTTTTTTCCAATCCTGTACATGAAATGCACATATTTTAAAGGCTTTGGTTGTTGATTTTCTGTTATTTAAGTAACCTCAGCGCCCAAGGTGGGGCTTGAACTCATGACCCCAAGACCAAGAGTCGCATGCTCCACCGACCGAGCAAACCAGGCTCCCCATGTTTGTAGCTTATTTAAAATCTCATATAGGGGTGCCTGGGTGGCTCAGTCGTTAAGCGTCTGCCTTCAGCTCGGGTCATGGTCCCAGGGTCCTGGGATCGGGCCCCGCATCGAGCTCCCTGCTCGGCGGGGAGCCTGCTTCTCCCTCTCCCACTCCCCCTGCTTGTGTTCCCTCTCTCGCTGTGTCTCTCTCTCTCTGTCAAATACATAAATAAAATCTTAAAAAAAAAAAAAATCTCATATAGAGGGGCGCCTGGGTGGCTCAGTTGGTTAAGTGTCCAATTTGATTTCGACTCAGATCATGATCTCACAGTCATGGGATCGAGCCCTGTGTTGGACTCAGCACTCGGTGTGGAGTCAGCCTGAAGATTCTCTCCTTCTCCTCCTCCCCCTGCTCCTGTGTGTGTGCATGCTCGCTCTCTCTCAAATAAATAAATCTTAAAAAAAAAAATACTATAGAGGGTTAAATGGTGATTCCCCCAAAGGCATGTCCTCGTCCTGATTCCTGGAACCTGTCATTGTGCCTTATTTGGAAAAGATGGTCTTCTGCAGGAATAATTAAGGATCTAGAGATAAGGGGAGCATCCTGAATTACCTGGGTGGGCCCTAAATCCAGTGGCCAGTGTCTTCACTAGACAAAGGCAGAGCGAGATTGGAGACAGGAGAGGAGGAGGCAGGGTGACCGCAGAGGCAGGTGGGAGTGACGGGGCCACGCGCCAGGAACACCAGCAGCTACCACCAACTGGAAGAGACAAAGGCGAGGTTCCTCCTGGTGCCTCTGGGGGAGTGTGACACCCTCGCCCTGGATGTCTGGGGCCAGAGCAGGGGGAGAATGCATTTGTGTTCTTTCAAGTCACTAGGTTTGTTACATGTTAATTGTTAGACCTGATCAAGCTAGGATATTAGCGTATTCACACTCAGAAGGAGGTGGGTTGCTTACTAAGGAAGCAACAGCCCACACCTAGTTGTCCTCACAGATGCAATAATACGGTTTGTCTGAAGGCACTTAAAATATGGTGGTGATCTGGACAGAAGGGTGAAATCCACAGTGTTTAGAACTCAGGAGTTCAGGGGCGCCCGGGTGTCTCAGTCGGTTAAGCGTGCGACTCCTGATTTCAGCTCAGGTCTTGATCTCAGGGTCGTGAGTTCGAGCCCCACGTCAGGCCCCACGCCCCTCTTAAGAAAACAAAACCCAAAAGACTCAGGAGTTCGTTGCGTGTTGAGTAAGCACTTAGTAACTGGTGGATATTAATACTGTCTGCCATAGTATTCTCAGCAGGGACGAAGTCATCTCCTTGGCCCCGTTGTTCTCTGATAATTAAATTCCTCCCTCAAAAATTCAGAAATAAGTCAGGATAACAAGCCCCCGGTCACCCCTCTGCTTCATGGCCCCCTTCCCATCCAGCATCCGTCTCGCCGCATTTCCTACTCCCCTCTACATTAGAGCCTCTGTGATCCCAACCTTCGGTTTCCCCAGATGCCGGATTCCCACATTTCTCCCTCACGGTCACGCCCAGCGGTCGACCCTCCAGCTCCTCAGTTACTCTCCACCAAGTCCAGCCCCCCTCACCCCCCACCCTCTGTCCACAGATTTTTACAGAGCGAGGGGACACGCAGAGGGCATTGTAGTGAGATCAGAGGGTTCACACGCCCCTCAAAGAACTGGCATCCACCTCATTGACAGCTAGCCTTGAAGGAGATCTTGTGGCACTGTTCATGCACCAGGAAGAGGAAGGACTCTGTCATCTCTAAGAGATTCGAGGGAGGCCAGAAGAGACCCCTCCCCATCCTGCCCTTGGTGGGCATTTCTAAGGTCTCTATATTAATCTCCGAGGGACCTGGAACACTGAGCCTCAAGAGAGGTCATCATCGCTTGAACATGAACAAGATGGAGGGCCAGCGATGGAGTCCGAATGGTCAGCACTCCTACCACTATCAACCTTCTAGAGATAGAAGGGATTATAGGGGACCACTGTATAAGAGCTTCTGCACTCAGTCCTTATGAGTGTGTGCGGGAGGCGGGGGGGTTGGGGGGAGGTTCCCCAGGGTTGTGGGGAGGTTCCCCATACCACCTGCAGGTCCTGCAAGTCAACTCAGTTCTGACCCAGCGTACCCAGCGATAACATCAGATTCACCAGGTCAGGGGCTCGGTCCAAGACAGCTGCGCTGCTATTCAGATCCCAGTCGCAAGTCCTGGTTGCTCACCTGGGCTTCTGACCACTTGGCTGTCAATCACAGGTTCCCATGACCCCCTCCTTGGGCTCCATTATTTTGCTAGAGAGGCTCACAGACCTCAGGAGACCTGTTTACCCATTAGACTACCAGTTTACTTCAAAGGATACACGAATCAACAGCCAGATGAGATATATAGGGCGAGGCCCCAAACAAGGGAGTTTTAGCCCCCATAGGTTTGGGCCCAGCATGGCGGTATGAGGGAGCTTTCCAAAACCCCTCCTTTTGAGGCTTCATCACATACATCGTCGGCCATTGGTGTTCGAAGTTGGGTCCCTACCTTACACCTTGTATGAAAACGAACCCCAAACAGATCAAAGATCTGAATGTAAACGCTGAAACCATAGAAATGCTTGGGAGAAAACCCAGGCCTAACTCTTCCTGACTTTGAACTAGGCAGGAGCTTCTTAGACATGGCACCCAAAACACACTAGCTGCAAAAGGAAAAAAAAATAGATAAACGACATCATCAAGATGAAAAAAAAACCCCTTGGTGCATCAAAGACACCGTCACAAAAGTTAAAAGGCAAACCACGGAATGGGAGGAACATTTTGCAAATAATATCTGATAATGGACTTTATTCAGAATACATGAAGAACTCATAGAATTCAAGACAAATGGCCCAATTTTATTATTCGATTTTTTTGCATGGTTTTTATTATTTTATTTATTTATTTATTTATTTATTTAAAAGATTTTATTTATTTATTTGAGAGAGAGAGAATGAGAGAGAGTACATGAGAGGGGGGAGGGTCAGAGGGAGAAGCAGACTCCCTGCCGAGCAGGGAGCCCGATGCGGGACTCGATCCCGGGACTCCAGGATCATGACCTGAGCCGAAGGCAGTCGCTTAACCAACTGAGCCACTCAGGCGCCCTTGCATGGTTTTTAAAGTAATCTCTACACCCAACATGGGGCTCAAACTCATAACCCCTGATCAAGAGTCGCACGCTCCACTGATTGATCCAGTCAGGCGCCCCCCACCTTTTTTTTTTTTTTTTTTTTTGCATTTTTTCAAATGGCCTGATTTAAAAAACGGGTAGAGGATCTGAATAGATGTTTCTTCAAAGGTAGACACTTGGCTGGTAAGCTCAGGAAAAGCTGCTTGATGTCCTCACCATCAGGGAAATGCAAATCAAAGACACAAAGAGATTTCACTTCATACACACTAAGGTTATGACTTAAAAAAGAAAAAGACAAGTTTTGTCAACGAGGCGGAGAACTTGGAACCCTCCTACAATTCTGGTGAGAATGTACAATGGCGCAGCCAGTTTGGGAAACAGTCTAGCGGTTTCCATATGAGTCAGCAATCTCACTCTTAGAGAAAAGAAAACACGTGTCCACACTCACAACATTGTACGTGAATGTCCGCAGCAGCATTATTCACAGTAACCACAAAGTGGAAACAACCCAAATGAACGCAACTACTGGATGGATACGTAAAATGTGGTGTATCCAGACAATGGGATATTGCTTAGCAATAGAAATGAAGCGTTACTACCCGCTGCCACAGGGATGAGCCTCGAAAACAGCGTGCTAAGTGAAAGGAGCCAGTCACAAAGGACCTTGTACCGTATGATTCCATTTATAGGAAATGTGCAGACAAGGCAAATCCAGAGAGAGGAAGTCGATTAGTGGTTGCCTAGGGCTGGGGGCTGGGTGGGGGGTTGGAGGGAGATGGGTAAGGTGTGAAGGGTTTCCTTTCAGGGTAATGAAATATCCTAATATTGATTATGGTGATGGTCGTGCAACTCTGTGAATATACTAAATGCATGAGTTCTGTGGCATGTGAAATGTATCTCAATGATGCTGGTAAAAATAATAAGAGTACACACTCCAGAAACAATGCCTGGGTTCATCTAGTGCCTTCACTGGTCTTGCGACCTTGGCCAAATCACTTCCCCTATCTCTGTTTCCTCATCTGCAAAATGGGGAAAATAAAAGAAACTCCTCACGGGCTTGAGAGCCTTCAAGTCATATAAGACATCCAGCCTGTCACGCCCTAATTTCCCTTATTAACACAGTGGGCTCCATGAAGGTAAGGGTTGTATCTGTCTTGCTAATGACTATCTCCAGTGCTAGATACCCAAGAAAAAATGAAACACTTACAAAATTGCTCCATTTATTCTCCCAGCTTGAGGTTCCACTGTCCCACACAGCTAAATTCCAACTGTGTCCCCCAACATAAACTTCCTGCTGTCCCTTGGTATCCAGAAACCACTGTTCATTTCACTGCCTCCATATACCTACCCACCCCTGACAGCTCAATGTGAAATAGGACAAGTTGCCCAGAAGAGTCGTCTCTCCTGCCATCATCATTTGGGATCTGCTGAGAGTCACTTTACTGGATGTCTTTGTTATTTTTGCCTGCTCACCCTCCATGGTCATGGTGACCAGTTTTCCTTTGGGAAATCTTCTTTCCCATTGCATCCTATCTTCTTGGGGACTGCGTATCAAGTTCTCTCTTCCACCTTCCGGCCAAAGGTGGGCAGGTGACCCTAGCCAGGTCGGTGAGACACTCTCTAGGATTTGGTTCTTGAGCAACATAGCCAAAGGACGCCCAAAATGGGCCCATTTGTTTTTTATGGTTGAACCCTGAAAAGACAGTCCATTAGTACTTGACTGGAACGGCTGGGTATTTTGGACAAGGGAGCCTTTTATTGGAAGCCCAGAAGTTGGAGGACAATTGAGAGCTCCATCTAGGGAAGCAGTAACTGAAATTAGGTGGGCGGTGGAGGGGATATGGGACCAAATATTGTGGGATATTTGAACTATGTAAGAGGAAAATTGGCCAGGCCAGGCATAAAGGGATGCTGAAAGTACACATGGATTGTGGGAGAATAGTGGAATTTTAATATTTAACAGTAGAAATTTAATATTAGAAAATGTGGGCCAAGCTCCTGCTGGACCCCAGTGGAATCAGGAATTTCGAGATATGAGAATTTTCAGGTGTTTCAGGAATTTCAGGGTATGGGGGGAAAGTAAGGGCTAATAGAGGGGTATATGGGTGTATGGGAAGAAAGCAATTCATTCCGGGGATGGGGGGAGCACAGCAGTGATGCAGAGAATGTTGGGGAAGGCTGGAGCACCATATCAGAGAGGCAGTGATAATCCTAGTTTTGGGGGAACCGCACAATGAATCCTGAAATAAGGGGATCACATGGGACTGGACATTTAGGGGAATACTGGAGCCTATGTTCAGACTGTAGAGGCAAGAGGATCTAATTACAATATAGTCTCATAGGAACCGGATATGGGAATTTGGGGTAGAAATTGGAGGCATATGTTGAGGAACAGGGAACTCAGGTTCTGGGAATGGAGGGGAGAAGCTGCTCTCAGGGCATTAGTGGAGGGGAGAATATTGGGGAATCATATCCTGAGTAGTCCCTGAAGGACTGTCTAATGAGGGGTTCTAGGAGACGTATGAATGGAAAACAATAGGACTGTCTGGAGAACACGGAGCTATGTATTGGAACTCAGTGGCTAGTCAATATTAAAAGTCGGTAGGATATGCAATATCCAAGACTGAAGGCTGGAAACCAGTGAGAAGTACCTACCGCAGGTACCATGGAGACTTAATTTTGGGGAACTGTGCCACTAATTGTCGGTGGGGGGGGGTGGCGTTATTGTAATAAATCATGGGTGTAAAGCACAGGCTGACGTCAGGGAACAGTGGGTATTGAGTTTGCAGCACAGCAACGAAATGCAGAGGGGCAAGATGCTAAGCCCCACGGTGATGCGGGATCACGGGATCACAGAACCGGGAAGTGACAAGGCTCTGATATTGGAATATGCTGAGCTTATAAAGCCACAAGCTGGGTGGGGGGGCAGATTCTAGAGCTTACTGGGGGTACCGTACTGGGGCAGAAGTGTCTTGATAATGGAAGCAGGTGGGGACTGAATCTGAGAGGCAGCAGGTGAAGCCACAGAGGACAGTCATGGACCTGCAGTCAGGGGACAGAACGTTCCCAGAACGTTCCTGGGAACCGGATATGGAGAAAGATGCCATAGAGAGGCAGGCATGGCTATTTAGTGGAGGAGGGAGAAGCTGCACCTGGAAACGCTGGTCATAGGACACACCTGTTTGGGAGGAATGGTAGGGATGCTCTAAGGATTATGGGGTGAAACCGAGCAGACTGGGAAGCTTGGAGGGCCCACTGCTTGGCTCTAAATTAAGCGAGAACTCAGTATACATGGGACTGAAAAAGGGATTTATTTCGTCAGAGGTAAGACAGACATTTCCAGATAACGTAGCAGAGCGCTGAGTTGATGACATTTAACATTCATGAGTAAAAAAAGAGATGGCAGGTGGGTGAGTAACCCGCAAGGTGGGTTTCAGTGTTAGGCCTTTGGGTCTGAGATGACAACCCCGAGGGAATTCTTGCTAATGACAGATACCCCACGCCCTGGTCTTGGGTCCCATTGCTGCGGCATCGCTTAGGGCCAGCATGAAGCCGCCAGAGACGCAGAGAGAGCCCTCCCGCGCACCCCAGCCCAGCCGGGGGTGCCGAGTCTCATCCTGCGCAGCGCGTGAGCCAGGGGCCCGCGACCCGGGAGGTCTGCAGCCGTGCGTCCCACGCCGTCCAGGACGCGACGACAGCGTGGCCTCCTGCCAGGACAGCCCCTCCGGCTGTGGGTCTCGGCCGGGTAGCAGTCGTAAAGCCTAAGGCAGAACAACGCACAGTCCGGGTCAGCTCAAGCGCCTGGGGACGCGGCGGCGCGCCACCCCGACGATCGCCACTCACCGTGTTCTGCGCTCCGGCGGGGCCCGCGGGGCGCTCAGGTCCGCCAGCTCCGGGGGCCTGGCTGGTGCTCCGGGGGGCGATGCAGCATCACAGGGCTCCCGCCCGGCTGGCCCAGGGCGCCGACCCTCCCTCCCCGCGGGGTCCTCTCCGGAAGCTCGTCCCTTAAGGAACCCAAGGGTGGGCTCGCTGCGCGTGCTCCCACCTCATGAAGTGCAGGGTCCAGGGACACGATCCTAATCGTGAGCCGCACCCCGCTCCTCTAAACGCCGGGGGATGACCGCCCCCTCCCCTAATCTCAGGGGCAAGCAGACCCTTATTTCATTACTGGCAGCAGCTCCGGACATGTCTCCAGATGAGCAGGGACACAAAGGTAGTGACAAGCACAGGACAAAAGAGCAAGCATCAGAAGCTAGATGAAGGGGGTGCAGCGCGTCTCCCGCACACGCCACGCCGAGCCCCCGGTTTCCCTTCCCACCCCCCGGGGCCGCGCGCCCCCGCCCCGGCCGCTCAGGCCAGCTGCAGGTGGATGTAGGTGAAGATGCAGGAGGTGATGGAGAAGGCGATGGCCGCGTAGATGAAGATGGAGAGGTGCGGGAAATGGTCGAGGTAGCAGCCCTCGTCCTGGGGGGGCGCCTCCTCCTCGGGCGGGGGGCGCGCCGCGGCCTTGGGGGGCTGCCCGGCGCGGGCCCCCTGCGCCCTCCCGCCGGCGCGCCGACCGGCCCTCCTGCCCGCCGCCGCCGCCGCCCTGGGCGCGCGGGCCGCGGGGGGCTCTTCCCGGGGGGGCTCGTCGAACAGGCCCCCGGAGTCGCCGGCGGGGTCCGAGCGGGTGGGCGCGGGGGCCCAGGGCTGGCGCGGGAAGAGCGGGGCCTCCATGGTCGAGGAGCTCGGGGGGTCGCGGGCCGGAACGCGGTGGGCGGTGGCGGGGCTGCGCGGCGGCTGTGCCCGCGGAGGGGCGGGGACCGCTCTGCCGCGCGCCTCCCCCGGCTCCTCCCCGCGCCCCGTCCGCGCCCGGGACCCGCGCTCCGGCCAGCCACCTGTTCCCATGGCAACCCGGCGCGGGGCGCGGGGCGCGGGACCCCGGGCGCGAGGAGGGGGCTCGGCGCCGGCCGGGACCCCAGCTGCGCGCGGAGCTTCACCGGGGACCTATCTGTCTTTTTAAAAGAAATTTATTACGGGTCTTTCTGTTTTTCTTTTTTTATCTACAATTTAGTACATGAAAAAACAAATACATAATCTTTGCAGAAAACTTGACAGTTAGAAAGCCCCGTCGGCAAGAACAGGAACAGAACAAGTGCTCCCACCACTATCCCAAGGCCCAGAGATAGATGGTGCCTTTCCTTCCTTCTTCCTTACCCTCTCCCTACGGCTACATCGGTATCTGGGCTTTCCCCCTCGTGCTCCTCGCCCCAAACCCATGATCCCAGCCCCGTGGGAGGCTCACGTTGGAGGCTCACGTTTGAGTAGGAACAGGTACTTTCTCCCCGCCGCCCTACACAGCACCCACCCCCGCACCCCCCAGGCCTTTCTCTGGCTTCCACTGGTACCGCCTCAGACTTGGGGCACCGAGGTTCCAAGGCCGACGGTGTTCCCCTGTGGAATGTGGGGAGAACAGCCACTAGGACTTTTGGGGTCCCAGAAAATCTGGCAGGCCCCGCCAGTTGCCGCAGATCCAACTCAGACTGTCATCAAGGAACTCATGGCCTCCTGTAAGGGAAAGGCCCTGGGGAAACCAGGACGAGGGTGCAGAAGCAAGGTCACCAGGATGCTGTGTCTCTTTCCATCTCCCAGTGTTGCCGGGGATTTCTTGCAGGGCCAGAGCCTACAGAGTGGCAGGTGCTCAGATATAGTATTTGTTGAATGAGTAATTCGAGGGATGAATGGCGGTTGGCAGCCACAGACTCGCACCTCACAGCCTACCGCCCCCACCCAGCTCCCGGAGCTTCCAGTCAGCGAGCAGGTGGAGAAGGGGCAACCCTCCAACGCTGCAAATGGGAATGTAAAAAGGTACGGTAGCTTTGGAAAAACAGTTCGGCAGTTTCATAAAAAGTTCAACATACACCTGCCATATCAGGAATTCCACTCCCAGGCGTCTGCCCACGAGAAATGAAGACAGGCTTTCATATGAAAACAGGGACTCGTCCATGGATGTCCATAGGGTTAATGGTAATAGCACCAGGCTGGAAACAATGCAAATGTTCTTCGAATGTTAAATGTATAATCAAAATGTGGCTTATCCGTGCAATGGGATAGTATTTCACAATAAAAAGAAGTGAGCTCCATCATGGATGAATCTCACAAACGTTCCGTTAAGTGGAGAAAAGCCAGGTGCACAAGACCACAGATTGTATGATCCCACTTACAGGAAATATCCAGAAGAGACACATTTATTTACAGAGACAGAAAACAGATGGATGATTGCTGGGGCTGGAGAGGGAGGTGGGGAGGCGAGGAACCGCAGACAGGCTCAGGGCAACTTTTTAGAGGGATAGATATGTTCTCAACCCCGGTGGTGTGATGGTTGAGCAGCTCTTTAATTTTTCTAAAATTCATCAGTGTGTCCACTTAATGTGGATGACTCTCATGATATGTGAATTATACTTCAAAAGGTCATTGTTTTTAAAAAGAAACTTCAATGAGTTATCATTTCTCAGATACCAGATGGGCAAAACAAAACAAAACAGAACAAAACAAAACCTATGGATTTTATTTGCAATTCTGTGGGTCGGTTGGGTTCTTCTGGTTTGAGTAAATTTGGCTGATCTCTTCTGGATTTTGTCATTTGTCTGGCAGGTCAGCTGAGGCTGGATGATCCAGGATGACCTCACGCCCATGTCTGGAGGTGGGCAAGCCGTCGGTCAGGTGACTTAGTTCTCCAGCAGGCTAGCTTGAACTTATGCACATGGTGGTCCAAGCACAGAAACAGGGAACCCTATAGAGCACAAGGACTGTTCCAGTCTCTGCTTGTACTGTATTTGCTGTCCCCCTGGCCAAAGCAAATCACATGGCCAAATCCAGATTCAAAGTCTGTGCAAAGCCACATTGCAAAGTGAGGGGCAGAATTAGTGACCACTTTTTGCAAGCTGCTATAGAGAACAAGAGAGTTAAGCCACTTCTCTATGGTTATATGGCTAGTAAGTTGCAGAGCTAGGATTCTGGGGCTCACGCTTTTACCCACTATGCCATTCGCTGAGGGGTGTCTGCAAGGCGTGGTGCTTGAATATAGTGTGTGAGATGGAGAGGGGTTGGATATGTAGCCAGAAAGGGGTTTAGACTTTATTTAGAGGCACTAGAAATCCATTGGAGGATATAACCGAGTGGCATTTTGGAAAGCTCACTCTGACCATAGTATGGATGCTGGATACCAGGTGGAGGGGTTGGGGGCAGGGTGACCGATGAGGACTTCATTGCATTAGACCAGGTTAGAGGTGAAAGGAGGTTGAAGTGGCAGAGGGGATGAAGAGAAGAGGACAGAGTCAAAGGACATTTCGGAGCTAAAATGCGACTTTGCTGATAACTGATGGGAGGGGTGGGGAAGAGGTGGGGGGCACCGAACTTTCCCCAGTAGATCTAGAGGGAGATGATGAGTTACCGAGCAGCTGGGTTGGCTCTGGGGTCCTTATGGGGGAAATGGGGGGAAATGTCCCTTTGCCAAAAGCATCCTCAGGTGCGAGGTCTGAGCTGGCGATCCAGATTTGGGAATTACTGGCGTGGAGGGGATGGGTGAAGCCGCAGGCATAGATAAGATTGCCCAGAAGTGTAGGAAGAGACGAGGATTCGCAGAGCATCCTGAGGACCACCAACCTTTGATGGTTGTGTTTTAGAAAAAAATATAAGCAGTATGCCAAATGGAAGACTTCACAGATATTACTGTTTAGGACAAGTCTAAAAATTTCCAAGTGAGTTACAGTTAAAGAAAAACAATTACACGGGGCGCCTGGCTGGCTCAGTCTGTGGAGCGTGCCACTCTTGATCTCGGGGTTGTGAGTCTGAGCCCCACGTTGTGTGTGGAGATGACTTAAAAATAAAATCTTAAAAAAAAAAGAAAATTAAGTAATGAAACTGTACGGATGGTTCACGGACATGACAAAATTCAACAAGTCAGATGAGGAGTGCTTGGAATTTGGGTAAAGCCTGGAAAACATGTGAACGGGCTCTTAAGCTGTGCAGCTCTTTGTAAGCATCTCTCTTCCTGAAGGCCGCGGTGAGTTCCAGGGGAAACAGGGGGGAGTTTAACTCCCCATGGACTCTACCAGCCCCCCGCTCTTTGATATGGGCAATGGGCTTTTGCTCAGTTTTATTTAAAGCATATGTTACACAAACAGCTCCAAGTCCCCCCACCCACCTCCTTCCAACTGGATTTATTGCTTCGAAGCCCCTTCGCTATTGGGGAAAGGCTCAGGAGCAGGAGGGAGGCTTGGGGACCAGGCCCTGCAAGGACTTTGGGGAGGGGGAGGGGCAGGGGGCAGTGGAGGTACCGGAAATGCCCCTGCAGGGGTCCATTGCCTATTAAGAAGGTGTGAGGCTGAACAACAAAGACAGGGCCCCCTTAGGACACCTTGCTGTGTGCCACCTGGTTCACCCATACAGAAAAGCCCACAGTGGAAAACAGCTCTGGTCCCAGCCAGGGGATTCCTGGGGGCTCCCTCCCTCAGAGTTGGGAGAGCTCCGCCAGCTGGGTGGGCTCACGTTCGCAGAGGCTCTGGCTGTCCCCGGTGATGAGAGAGCGAAGTCTGTCCCAGGCCAGGGAGCCCTGAAAAGGCAGATACCCGAAGGCTCCAAGCTGCGGCCTCACTCTCTGCTTCGTGCCAGAAGGTTCCAGGAAAACCCTCAGGAACCCCGGGGCCCAGAGCCCAAATCCACCAAAGGACCCACATGGACAAAAGGCTGCCCTTCCCTCCTGCTTCTGGGATGGGCCCAGAGCACCCACCCCTCTCCGAGGTGAGAGAGCCCGGCTCTTCCGAGAATCTCTGCTCCCGGGCTGAGATGGTGGGTCTCCTTCGCCCATTTAGGGGGACCTGCTTGTGGAAAAAGGGTACACAAATCAGGGATCTGAGTCTGTCCCGCCAAAGGTCATATGCCCATGTTGAGGATGCCCCGTGCCCCATGGGGAGTCCCAGGACACAGGTCCCGATACGAATACTAACAGCAACTAGGAACAGCTCTGGGCCTTTCCGCAGAGATGGTGCACTTGGTTTTTATGACCCTATGAGTCATACACCAGTGTTTTCTCCAGTGTAGAAATGGGGAAACTGAGGCTCGAGGGCTGAAGGAACTTGTCCAGGGTCTGCCTCTGGGTTCCAGCCAGGAGCCTGCCTGCCTCCCACCCACCTCTCACACCAGGTCCTGCCACAGCCTTTCCCCCGTGGCCACATCCTGCAGACAAACAGGACTGTTCTCCTTTAGAATCTGCACACAAAGCAAGAGGCAAAACTCACAAGATCTCTTTGAGCTCACAATGCTCGCACCCAGCTGAGGAAACTAGCTTTGGTGGTTGAGTGTCTGTGTGTGTAGGGGGAGTGCAGGTAGACGGGTGTGTGGGGGGGTAGGAAGTGTGGGGGTAGGGGGAATGTAGGGTGGGGGAGAGTATAGGGTAGAGGAGGGGGGGAGCCCAGGATGGCTGGGGGGACAGGGGGTAGAGGGGTGGGGGGCTGGGGTGCTTGGGGGACGCTCAGGGTGGAGGGAGCATGGGGTGGGCGGGAGCCCTGGATGGAGGGTGGGGGGTGGGGGGGTGCAGGGTGGTGATGAGTGTGGGGTGGCGGGAAGAGGGGTTTGGTGGGGGGGCTCGGGACGGGAGGAGCGTATGTTGGGGGAGAACGCAGGGTGGGGGAGAGGAGTGGGGGAGGGGGCCCTTCCAGGAACCCTGCTGTTTGTCGTCCTGGAAACCGTGAGTGTGTCTGAGCCGATTGTGGATTCTCCCTCCTGCGGTCCCAGCTGGCTGGGACCTGGGAAACCAAACCAGGCATCTCTTCTCCGCATGGGCTCCCCCCCTCCCCACTGAGCCGGCAGAAGACGGAAAATCTCACAGTGTATTGTGCCCCCGCAAG